ATTCCAAAAGAGAAGCAGTCTCTGCCCTCACAATTTCAGTCCTTCTAGGTTTAGGTGCGGCAGGTACAGGAACCGGTGTGGCTTCCCTCCTGATCGGCAGCTCCAAGTTTGATGCCCTACAAGCTGCCATTGAAGAAGATGTCCGGCGATTACAACAAGGCATAGATGACTTAGCTGTCTCCCTTTCTTCTTTGGCTGAAGTGGTCTTACAAAACCGATGTGGTCTAGACTTATTGTTTTTACAACAAGGAGGTCTATGTACAGCGCTAAAAGAAGAATTCTGCTTTTACATAGACAAAACAGGGGCAGTAAGGGGTAGTATGAAAATTTTAAGAGAAAATTTAGACAAAAGAAAAAAAAGAAAGAGATTCACAAATACCCTGGTATGAAAGCTGGTTCTCGGGCCCTTCTTGGCTCACTTCTCTCCTACCAGCCATAATTGGCCCCTTAATAGGATTATTACTTTTAATTTCTTTTGGACCTTGGGCCTTTAATAGGCTTACTAGGGTTATTAAACAACAAATTGATTCACTACTCTCTAAGCCAACACAAATTCATTACCAATGTTTAGAAATGACAGATCCTGACGGTCCAGCTTACGATAGATCACTTAGATCTCCCCTAGCAACAACTATAGACTTATAAACGGCCTTCTTAGGCCCCACTCCCTCTCACTTCCATCAAAAACCAGACTAGCAAGAGGTTGGTACATAATAAAACGCATACAGGCCACAAGCTGACTGGCAGCCAAAGACAGGTAAGAGAAGGTTCCACTGATAGCGACCTAAGACAGGCAGGTAGTCTATCGCTGCTACTATCGCCAATGATGGGTAAGCATCAAGTGGATATCTTCTGACCTAAGACAGGCGCAGTCACTCGGCATAGGTCTCATAAGACCACCACATCTGCTCTGCCTCACCTCCCCAAAAGTACCAAGAGCAAAAAACAGTGAGGAAATCTTCAAAAATCCTCACGGGAGGAGTCTGGTTATTTGTTCTAATAAATAAAAAAGGGAGGAGATGTTGGGAGCCAAAAGGCCAGAAGAAAAACATCTTTATGGCAGCTTTATGGTTTCCTGCACATCTTTATGGCCTTGAGAAAAAACAGCTTTAAGGTTTCCTGCACATCTTTATGGCCTTGAGAAAAAACAGCCTTATGGTTTTCTGTAAGTTTCTATAAGATAGCACTTAGTTAAAGAATGTAGAAAAACAACTTGTGACCCAGGTCAAGTCAGCCTTGAGAAATGTCTACTACAGATGTTAGTCCTGAGAAATGTTCACCATAGCCATTAGCAGATGTTCCTTTAGGATAAGAAATGCCCC